TTTTTTTTTCCTTTTCCTGGACCAGTTGGTGGAGAGGGGGCATTTCCCTGGGGAAATCCCCATTTGGAGTTTTCCTTCCTAATTTGCCCTAAACTAGGACAGATGCCCGTCACAAGACGTGGAACAGAAGGAATGTGCACATATCTATGTTTACAGTTCCTGTCCTGGGAAAGTCTTAGAAAACCATGTCAGCCAGCTCAGAAGCTGAGTTTTCAGGGCGACACCACCCCCCTTCCCAAACCCTCCTTCCTAAGGAGATTTCAGCTTTCCCAAAGCTTCCCTCGCCTCCCCCTCGGCAGGAGGTTGTGTTTGCCTTCCCTGGCTGGATTGGGGTCTGGGAGGGATCCTCGCCACTTTGGGCTCCTCTCATCAGCCAGGACCTCGCCAGGGGGGTTCGGCCTCCCCTTCATCCCCTGTTTGTTTAATTTCATTTATCTGCATGTTTAATTTCATTTAAACATAAAAATTTTTTCCTGGGTGACTTCTGATTCAGGTATTGGGATTTGTAATCCCCATCCCAGAAAGATCCTTGAGCACCCAATTTTCCGAAGATCTCTCTCCCCAGCCGGGGGGTTTGAGGCAGACCCCGAATTTCCTGTGTCCCCCGCGGTGTTCCCATTTCAAAGGCGATGGCTGTCCCAATTCCTGTTAAATCCAGACACCTCCCTGCCGCACCCACAGCCCACTTTGGCTCTGCAGGAATTCCCAGTTCCTCCTGTGTCCGGCACAAATTCACCTTTTCCTTCCCCGGCCATTGCAGGGGGGCTCAGCTGAGCCCTCGCCCCCACCTGGGGACTCTTCACCTCCCCCTCGGAACCCCGAGGGTTCCCAGAGGGGCTCGGGGGCTCCTGGCCTGGGACCCCCCCTTTTCCAACGTCCCCTTTCCCAAATTCAGGCACTGATTATTCCAGAGCTCCTCCCACTGTTCCCCGGGAGGGGATCCTGCCCCAGCCTCCCCCAAAGCTTCCAGGGGAATTCTCCCCAGAATCGCCCTTTTCACTCCATGACCCCCTTCCCATTTAAACCGTGTGACATTCCAAACCCTCTCCCAAGTGTGACATTCCAAACCCATTCCCAAATGTGACAATCCAAACCCATTCCCAAGTGTGACATTCTGAACCCATTCCCAAGTGTGACATTCCAAACCCATTCCCAATTGTGACATTCCAAACCCTCTCCCAAGTGTGACATTCCAAACCCATTCCCAATTGTGACATTCCAAACCCTCTCCCAAGTGTGACATTCCGAACCCATTCCCAAGTGTGACATTCCAAACCCATTCCCAAGTGTGACAATCCAAACCCATTCCCAATTGTGACATTCCAAACCCATTCCCAAGTGTGACATTCCAAACCCATTCCCAAGTGTGACATTCCGAACCCTCTCTCCTGCAGGAGCTCCCAGAGGGACCCGGAGCCTTTGGGATCTCTAAACCTGGGAGGTTTTTGCTGCCCCTTCAGCCCCTCCAGGGAAGGATCCTGCTCTTCCCAGGGCCCTGCTCCCGTTTCCTGCAGTCCTGGGATCGCAGCTTCCCCCAAAATCCCCTCGAGGTCCCGGGATCCCCGGGATCCATGGAAATCCAGGAGCGGGTCCCACCCAGGCACCGAAAGTGTCACCAGAAATGGGGAAGAGTCAAACCCCTGAGCTCCAAGGGGGCGGAATTCCCGTTTCCTGAGGCCTCCCGGCTGTTCCGGAGCTTTATTCCCGCTGACTTTTGGGAACACGGCCGCTGTTTCCTCACAGCTGGATTTCCCTTGGGAACGCTGCTGCGGGGGCAGGAGGATGCGGGAAAAGGGGAGGAAATGTCCTTGGAGCCCCGCTGGAGGATCCCGGGATGAGCCCCATCCATCCCCTCCCTCCCTCCGGAGCTCCAGGCTGGAACTCCCGGAGGAGATCACAAATCCGAGTCCTTGGAGACATCTCAGCCCCCCCGCGCACTCCCGGCTCCGGTCTCACCGCAGGAATTTAATTGGGAAATGTCTCCCGGCACCGTGATTTTATCTGGAAAACAAAAAAACAGAGAGAAAAGGGAAATTGGGGAATTTTCACTTGTTTGAGTGGCGAGCGCCAAGGGCCGGCACCGTCCCCAGAGGGACACCGAGGGTCCCCGCCCTGTCCCGTCCCCCGAGCCCCCCCGGCCGCTCCTCCACGCGGAGCCGGGACATCCCAAACACGGCACCGGGACCGCGGGGGTGGCACCGCCGGGGGGACACGGTGACACCGCCGGGGGGCACGGAGTGACACGGTGACACCGCCGGGGGCACGGTGACACCGCCGGGGGGCACGGGGTGACACGGTGACACCGCCGGGGGGGCACGGTGGCACCGCCGGGGGGCACGGGGTGACACGGAGGTGACAGGGTGACACAGTGGGGGGTGACACGGAGATGACACGGAAGTGACAGGGTGACACAGCCGGGGGTGACACGGAGGTGACACGGAGGTGACAGGGTGACACAGCCCCGGGTGGCACGGAGGTGACACGGAGGTGACACGGAGGTGACACGGAGGTGACAGGGTGACACAGCCCCGGGTGGCACCGGCGGGACATTCGGGAGCTCCGCCCGGGAAGAGCCGCCCGCGGGGATTTAAAACCCGCGTGGATGTGGATGTGGCACCTGGGGACAGTCGGCGGTGGCCTCGGGGTGACCCGGGGACATCGGGGGCTTTTCCCAGCTCGGCGATTCCCGGGTTCCGCCGTGTCCCGGTGTCCCCATGCCCCAGGGAATGTCACCATCTGTCCCCTGCTCCGCGCCACCGCCCGCCCGCGGGACATTCCCAGAGCTCCAAACTCCCGTCTGGGGCTGGGCCACGAGCACCGGGACAAACTGGGACAAACTGGGATGAACTGGGATAGACTGGGAGCGGCTCGGGTGCCCCCCAGCTGTGCGGAACCCCCCGGGCCCCGCCCAGCCTCATTTGCATTTTTAATCAGTTCTTCATTAACTCCGATCTTGATGATTGTTTGTTTGGGGAGGGGGACATTGATGGGACACTGAGGGGACACTGAGGGGACATTGGGGGACATTAGGGACACTGAGGGGACACTGAGGGGGCATTGAGGGGACATTGGGGGACACTGAGGGGACATTGGGGACACTGAGGGGGCATTGAGGGGACATTTGGGACACTGAGGGGATGCTGTGGGGACATTGAGGGGACATTGGGGGACACTGAGGGGACACTGAGGGGACATTGAGGGGACACTGGGGACACTGAGGGGACACTGAGGGGACATTGAGGGGACATTGGGGACACTGAGGGGACGCTGAGGGGACATTGGGGGACACTGAGGGGACACTGAGGGGACATTGAGGGGACACTGGGGACACTGAGGAGACACTGAGGGGACATTGAGGGGACATTGGGGACACTGAGGGGACACTGTGGGGACATTGGGGACACTGTGGGGACACTGAGGGGACACTGAGGGGACATTGGGGACACTGAGGGGACACTGAGGGGACACGTGGTGGCTCCTGCTGTCACAAGAGCCCTGCCGTGCTTCAACCACCACAAAGAGCCCAGAGGAGTCTCCTCCCTCCCTCCCTCCCCTCACCGGAACGCGCTCTTAGGAACAGGGGTTTTATTTTGTGACCTTTTTGGTTTTTACGGGGTTTTTATGGGGTTTTTACGGGGTTTTTATGGGTTTTTTACAGGGTTTTTATGGGGTTTTTATGGGGTTTTCCGTTCCGGGTTTCACAGGAAGGGATCGGCACCCCCGGCCCCACCGGCGGGACCGGAGAGAACCACACTGCCGGCAGTTCTGGGGCTGTTTTCAGAGTGCAAAACTGTTCACAAAGATCGTCCCTGAGCCAGAGAACTCCCAGAAACTCCTCCTCGCGAACAGACCAGCCGCTGACAGGCTGCAATTCCCTCCGGCTCCGAGAAAATCGAACCCTCACAGCCCCCCCTCCTAATTACAGAGAATAAATAGAATAGAAATAAATAGAATTAAATGGAATAGGGAGAACAGAATGGAGCAGGAAGCAGAAGCGAACAGCTGGAGTAACTTGAATAAAACAAAACAGAAATAATAAAAAAGAATGATAAATTACATAGAAAAAATTAAAATAAATAAATAAAACTTCTGACTTTAAATACGAGCACGGGGCAGGGCCCCGGTGGGACTGGCAGGGACTGGGAAATGCCCCGGAGGGACATTCCAGGATCCAAAGGTACTTCAGTGTCTGAAGAGAACACGGAGAAAACATCCCTGGGGGATTTTCCAAGCTCCGAAGATACCTCGGGGTCACAGCGGACACAGGGAAACATCCCTGGGGGATTTTCTCACGGAGAACCATCCCAGACGGATTTTCCTGGGAGAGCTGCGGAGCGCTGGAGGACATTCCAAGGTCCAAAGGGACACGGAGAATTGTCCTGGAGAGGTTTTCCGAGGTGTGAAAGGCACATGGAGGAGCGTCCCGGAGGGATTTCCCACGCTCCGGAGGGACCCGGGGGAACATCGCAGACGCTTTAAGAGCCAAAGGAACACGGAGACACATCCCGGGGGGCTCCCCAGCTCTGAAGGGACACGGAGGAGTCCCGGGGCTCCAGGAGCGAGGTCACATCCACCGGAGCACCGGGATGGTCCCTCGGCTACTGCTGGTCACCCGCCGGGAGGTCCCTGTGCCCGAGGGGGTCCCTGTCCCCAAGCACGGCCCCATCCCCGCGGGGGTGCCTGTCCCTGAGTGGGTCCCCATCCCCACAGGGACCCCTAACCCTGTCCCCAAGCACGGCCCTGTCCCTGCTGGGGTGCCTGTCCCCTGGGGGGTCCCTGTCCTCTCGGGGGTCCCTGTCCCCTGGGGGGTCCCTGTCCCTGTCCCCTGGGGGATCCCTGTCCTCTCGGGGGTCCCTGTCCCCTGGGGGGTCCCTGTCCTCTCGGAGGTCCCTGTCCCCTGGGGGGTCCCTGTCCTTGTCCCTATCTCCTCGGGGGTCCCTGTCCTTGTCCCTGTCCATGTCCCCTCGGGGGTCCCTGTCCCCTGGGGGGTCCCTGTCCCCATGGGGGTCCCTGTCCTTGTCCCTGTCCCCCGGGGGTCCCTGCCCGCGGGGCCGGCAGTGCCGGCGCGTTCTGCGGTGGCTGCTGAGGTTTGCCCGGGAGGCGAAGGCGCGGCCGCAGCGGGGGCAGGGGAAGGGCCGCAGTGCCGAGTGCGCCCGGCGGTGCAGCCACAGGTGCCCGCGGTGCGGGAACACGCGCCCGCACTCGGGGCAGGGGTGGGCGCGCTCGGGGCGGTCGTGGCCCCGCAGGTGAAGCTCCAGGCTCTCCCTCCAGCTGAAGCTGCGCCCGCAGCGCCCGCACTCGAACGGCCGCTCCTCGCTCGGCCCCGCCGCGCCCGGGAAGCGCCGGTGGCGGCGGAGCGGGGGCCGCGCCCGGTGCGTGTCCCGGTGCCGCAGGAGGTCCCCCCGCAGGCAGAAGGAGCGGCCGCAGTCGGGACAGTCGTGCCGGGCCCGGGCCCCTCCCCGCAGCTTTTTGTGAGCCAGGAGGCTGCGGCGGTGCCGGAAGGTTTTGCCGCAGGTGCCGCACAGGTACGGCCGGCCCGGGGGCGCCCGGAGCGCGGCACCGGCCCCGCAGCTCGGCCCGCACATGAGGAGCCCCGACACCGCCGGCGGCTGCCGGGGCCGGGCCCTGGCACAGCCCCCCGGCTCGGTGGCACGCCGGCAGGAGCTGGGGACATCGGCCCGCGGGTCCCAGCGTCCCCCGGTGTCATCCTTGCTGTCACACCCGCTCCAGGCACCTGCTGGGAACGGAGCGTCACCGTGCCACGGTCCCGGAGCTACCGCCGGTGCCACGACCGCCCCCGTGACACCGCGGGGGGACCCCCAGCCCCGGCCAGGGGGTGTCGGACAGGGGCTCTGGCCAGGGCCAGCCCCTCGTCCCACAGCGAGCCCCCAGCCCCGTGGGGTGTCCCCACAGGGTGTCCCCAAGGGGTGTCCCCTGTCACTCACCCCTGCAAATGGTGTCGGGAGCTCCGCTGTGCCCCCCAGCGCAGGGAACCCCCCCGTGTGACTCCTCCTTCACATGGCTGAACTTGGAGTTGGGGTCTGTGTGGGAGAGAGGACCCTCAGTGCCCCCCACAACGCCTGGGGAGCATCACGGTCCCCAGGGAATTGTCACCAGGCCGGGGGCTGAGCTGGGGACAGCGGCCCGGGGCACCCGGAGCCATTTCCTCACCCCGGGACACACAGCGAGATGGGGGGTGAGCTCCGTGGGGCAATCGGGCTGCGGACCCCCGGCTCGGCCTTCCACTGTGTCCCCAGCCCCATGTCACCCCCTGCCCATGTCACCCTCTGCCCATGTCACACCCTGCCCATGGCACCCCCAGCCCCACGCCCCCGACCCTCACCCCTCAGGCTGGCCACCAGGTCGTAGTTGTCGCACATGACCTGCCGGTGCAGCGCCCGCTGCCAGGGCGCCAGCTGCACCCACTCCTCGGGGGAGAAATACACGGCCACGTCCTCGAATGTCACCTCCTGGAATGTCACCTCCTGGAATGTCACCTCCTGGAATGTCACCTCCTGGAATGTCACCTCGGGGGGCGGCCCCCGGCAGGGACAGCGCGGGGCTCAAGGGGGGCGGCCCCCCCGGCCCTCGCTGGGCTCCCCAGGGCGGGACCCCCGGGCTCATCCCGCCCAACGCCCCCGACCCTCCGCAGGGACCCCCGGGCAGGGCCCGGCCCCTCCGCCCCTCCGCCGCCCCCCCGAGCCCCGGGCCCGGCCCGGCCTCACCCGCTGCATGGCCGGGCGGGGCCCGATGGCGGCGGCGGAAGGGGCCGGGCCGGGGGGCGGCACCGCCGGGGGTCAGAGCACCGGAACGAACCGGAACCGGCTGCTGGGGACACCGGGATCCGGCCCCGCTCCGCCACCCCGGCAGCGCCACCCTCCCCCCGAACGGGGCTCCTCGGGGACACGGCCCCCGCCCAAGGCTCCCCCCAGCCTCAGGAACCGGCCTGGTGGCTCCGGGAGTCTGGGAGCCCCGCACCGGAGGGTCTCGCACCGGAGGGTCTCTCTCACACCAGAGGGTCCCACACCGGAGGGTCTCACACCGGAGGGTCTCTCTCACACCGGAGGG